TTTTGTGTGTGTGTGTGTTGTGTGTGTGTGTGTGTGTGTGTGTGTGTGTGTGTGTGTTTGTGTGTGTGTGTGCGTGTGTGTGCGGGAGTAACGTATGCCAAGGGAAGCAGGTTATTTTCATTGTGTGAATTAATGAAAATCGTTATGGAAAGAGTAGGCGGTAAACCACTATCTAGTCAATAATATGACTACAACTAACAGTTTGTTTATTTGTTTATTTATTATTATTGTTATTTTGTCGTCGTAATAGTGTATGTTTTGCCTGGTAGAGCGTGCGGCAGTAACTGCAGAGCAAATTGCCTAATGCTACGGAATGTATATATACGCATTAATATAACAGTGTTGTACAACTGTAGAGTCCGTCATATACAATACCCGTCAGTGGATGGCTTAGTAGTTTGTGACGGGTTTTCAAAAAAGCTATGAAGTTCTGGAATGTGTAATGTCTACATTACGGATACAATAATGTCTACAGGCGCGAATAGAGATTGCTGATGGTTGCAGGTTTGTGCTTTAGGGGGCATCTGGAGAATGTTTGAATGGGGAGGAGTAGACGCAAACGTCGTAGGGTGTGGCCGCCCGGGTGGGCTGGCTGTCGAATGTAACTTGCATGCGGTTAAGAACCTCAGTAATCGTACGTTACCTGACTGGGCGAGTGCGACCCGGCACTTTGCGGCGCAGGTAAATCAGTAAGCGGGGCGTTGAAAGCAAAGTAAACGCGGATTTCATTATAGTATATAGCTTGCGGAAAGGCTCGGTACGCTCAACGCATAGCAACGATGACTAGCGATTTAAAGGTGGCCGAGGTGTAAACGTACGAGCAGCGAATGAAGCCTGAACATATATTATGAGCTTGCTGCATGGCTATGCCGACGCTGATTCATCGAGCCATACGTGATGCGGGATTGTCGCCCAAAGCTGTTGAGGTGTGAATTTTAAAGTGGTCGGTTACGCACGCAGTGGTGATCCACTTTACGTTGTAATTCAATACTACGCCTATAAGCTCTAGCTCTACGAGTGCTTATCATGGGCTGAGAGATCAAACGCGGGCTTATAGTTCGTATAGTTATAAAGGTCGTTGCTATTAAGATTATTTGGTCAGAGAGGCTGCGTTTATCACAACTACGATAGCGCGTAACCGTTTGGATGCACCCTTCATTGTCGTGTCTGAATAACGGATGCATAGTTTCTCTTACAAACTAGCAAAGGGTACTCTTCCTCTACAATTACGGTATGATCATACTGATTAGGTGAGGGTATGGTAATTGCTTTACTTCTAATTAAATGTACGACGAGATACTCAGAGATTGTTGGAATACACTTGATTGAGTGACTGCTGTATCATAACGCACGTATTACCTCGAAAGGAATTTGTCGACGAAAGTATACGAAAGCGTATAAAGTGTATTGTGTAGATCACACAATACACTTTATACGCTTTCGTATACTTTCGTCGACAAATTCCTTTCTCCACACTCACAGGCACTTAGAACGTCTCAATAAAAAAATCATGGTAAATAAACACAAAATGTATTTACTACCTTAAATTTACTACCTTATTTACTAAAAAAACGACTAAAGAACAAAAGGACGACTAAATCTATTAGTATCCTAACCTAGCGACCTAACATGGCATAATAAGAGTCACGTGTAGCAGTAGGTAATAGTGTAGGTGCTATATGCCCGCCCGTCGTGGAGCCAAACGAATGTGCATATATGCCACGAACTATCGCGAAATCTTTTCTTGAGCGTAGTTCCACTCAGGTTTGATATTACGAGCTGATCTCTCGCGGGCGACGCACTAGCCCGGATAATACGCGATCGTACGTGCCAGCTCGCATTCGACGACGCAGATGGCGTGTAATATGTGAGAGCAAGCGTAACACAATACCTCGTTCGTAACAATACCAGATTTAACTCATCAACCGCGATGTCAAACTGTGTTGTCATCTAGAAGACGCGACTGTAATGTCTGTCGCTATAACGTAAACGCGCGTCGTAAGCAACTCTGTCTATCATTATAAAATAACAACGTAAACAACCGTGTAAACAACTGTGTTCTAATCAGAAGTGTCATAACACATTATCTATTATATATATATATATATATATATATATATATATATATATATATATATATATATATATATATAAGGTCTACATTATTACACTCCAATTCTAACGACATACGCAACTGTTAGTGATATGCGAAGACGGCGGAAGTTTACGGTGGCGGCTGCTTGTTATCACTTCATTGTAACAGTGCTGTTACACTATGTGGTCGATCACATCGCTTGCACATACATTAGACACGAGGCGCTTCATTTACTCACGCCTTTCCGCGTATTATCAATCCGTACAGCTTCTGTTCGCTTTCGCCACGTCTCAACAATAAGTTGAGTCACACAGATTCCCGGGTTAGAGCAGCGAGCATGTTTGGTAACACATCGGTGATATCTGATCACCGTGTAATATCGAAATAAGATACACAATCGACACTTGATTTCAGTCGATTTAAGTCATTTGCTCATTCGCAATACTCAGCCGATACTCAATAGCAATACACTCACTTCATCACTAATTCTAAATATTCAATCCAAATCTCTTTCCAATCGATTCAATTCATATTCGCGATCGAGCAAACGCATCAATCAACATTGAAGAATCAAACATAATTACCTTCTTCCCGATGCAGCTCGCTGCGGCAAATTGTGATATCCAAGCACTTGTTTCTTATTGTTAGTAGAAGCTGAGATGTTTTCTAACGCGACTCGACAAGTTCAGCTATATCGCACCGCGGTCCAACGTATCCATCGTCCACGTAAAATTACAGTCGCTACGATGCAAAACTTTAAGTCCTGTGGTAACAGCAACAGCGGGTACCAACGCGAACGATCGCCGTATCTCCTTGTCTGTCTACGCGCGCCGTGTGACGTCACGTCGTCATTCTTGCATCGCTCTCATTCTCGTACTTTAGTGCGACGACGCCGAGATCTTATAGATGCAAATCAAGCGGCGGCGGCGGCGGCGGCGGCGGCGGAGGCGTCACTGGATCACGTGACGTCAGCAAGCAAGGCAGACGAAGTGAGCATGCAGCGTGTAGCCGGCCGTGGATAGCTGAGGAGCGAAGAACCGCACGCACGCACGGATATACACGCCTGCACACACGCACACACGCACGCACGCACGCACACGTGCACGCACAAACACGTGCGCACAGACGCAAACAAGTACACAAGCACGCGCACAAGTTCACGCGCACGAGTACACAGACGCGTACGAACACATACACGCGTACGCACGCACGCCCGAATGCATACACGAACATACGGTCGCAAAAACAGAAACAAACAAACACGCACGCACCAACACGGGCGCGCACCCAACCACACCCACACAAACACACACACACACACACACACACACACACACACACACACACACACGCGCGCGCGCGCGCGCGCGCACAACGCACGCACGCACGCACGCACACGGAGGCTGCGCACACGCGGGTACCCATCTAGCAACACCGGTATACCCAGCCAGGAGCCACAGGAACCCATCTAGTACCACGCACCTAGCAGGTATCTGGTAGGCCAGGCAGCCAGCCAACAACGATCAGTACGTCGCTAGCAGCAATTCTGCTTACACGATAAACACACTCTCACACTCTCAAACCAACATGTTCTGCTTGCATCTAGGACAACTACGACATACGCATATACGCTCTCCTATGACACTATTTGTCCTTCCTATGACAAATATTGGCGAGTCAACTTCGTTCCGCTTTACAGCTGAAATTCACTGCTTGCGTTCATAATAGCGCTCCTAAACTCCTATGATGCGCACAGCACATACAAGAATATTTGTCATAGGAAGAATCTTCTTATGACAAATAGTGTCATAGGAGAGCGTATATGCGTATGTCGTATTTGTCATAGATGCGAGCAGAACAGGCTGCTCGAACACACTCTCGCGCACGTGTTTATTGACAGGTAACGTAACACGGGCGCGCGCTCCTTCTTGCGCGGCGAAATAAAACGAAAATGAAAAAGCGCAAAAGTCGCGCAGTGCGAACGCGAAGGTGAGCGGTGCTGGTGGTCGCGACGTCAGGTTTCTATACTTCAATCGCATCCGAGATCTGAGCTCCAACGATGCCGTTAGATGGGCTCCCACTCGTCACCGCGACCGAGGCATGCACCGAGAGGGTCGACGCCCGACGGCTTGTTGGGTCAGTCTATAAAGGAGAGGCTGGTAGTCATGCTATGCGGATTGTTGATGATTACGTCATCGCGTTGTACTTGAGCAAAAAGATCGTGCCCGAGTAAATAAACACACCGCGCTGCATTGTGCGTTCTGCGAGGAACGCATTGCCAATTGACGTTTTTCATCTATCAGCGTTGCTTCTATCAGATTTGTTTCTCGCTGAAAAACACTGTCTTCTGTGCATGTATTTGTATTTGAATTACATGCAATAAAGAATTAATAAGCGGCTCTTTGTTACCGCTTTCGCAGCTTCATGAAAAAGCCTGCATGTATGTATGTATGCAGTGTTCACTTTTAATTCCAGCGTTTACGCGCACGCTGGAAAAAAATTCAACGATTTAGTTCAGATATAATAGTACATCATAGCATAGCGGTGACGATAGACACGTGTTGTGGATTTCAACCGCAGTGCGGGAAATCAAGGTGACGGTGTAAACGGTCATGAAAAAGCCTGCAGGTATGTATGTATGTATGCAGTGTTCACTTTTAATTCCACGTTTACGCGCACGCCTGGAAAAAAATTCAAGACGATTTAGTTCAGATATAATAGTACATCATAGCATAGCGGTGACGAAATACACGTGTTGCTGGTCATCAAACCGCCAGTGCGGGAGATCAAAGGTTGGACGTGTAAACGGTCATGAAAAAGCCTGCATGTAATGTATGTATGTATGTATGTATGTATGTATGTATGTATTGTATGTATGCAGTGTTAAAGCGCATGCCAATTAATCATACTACCTATGACAAAAATAAAACTCTAGTTCCTCCCATTTCACTGCGCGGTTGTCTTATTAAAAGGTTATTTTGGAAAATACTCCAAGTTGTTAAATTCTCCGATGTTTGTTGACAGTTATCCCCAATTCACCAAGCAACCGTGCAGCGGTGCGGCGGTCGCGGTACGGCGCGCACCAAAGACTAAAATACATGTAGACGTCTCACGTCACCACTTCGCAAGCTTTTGTTTGGCAAACAGTCGGCGTTTGCGCCAAGAATGACCAGTTTTCATCACCCTGCTTCCGTTGTGGTTTTAAGGCAACGCGGCTAGTGAATATGGGACGGAACTAGAGGTATTTATTTTGTCATAAGTAGTGTGATTATGCATGACACGAAGTATTTGCTAGTCTAGTACTGGAGAAATTAGCGTTTGGATGCGCATTGTGAGCCTTTAACTTTTAATTCGAGCGTTCACGCGCACGCTGGAAAAAAATTAATATATAAGATACTACAGATATAATAGTACATCGCGTATGCGCGTATAATTTGTATACGCGTATAGTATAGATTTAGTGGCTGTATAGCGTTGACGATAGACACGTGTTGTGGATTTCAACCGCAGTGCGAGAGATCAAGGTGACGGTGTAAGGCGATTATTCTACCACATGGCGTCACCGTTGAGGTTCCTGCTAAGCTAAGTCATCACACACCACGCCATGCATGCTGTAGAACCTGCCCTGACTGACGTCCCGCGTCTGGACGTACCATCGTACGTTGAACATATCGCGATTAAATTTCAGATCAAACTGATATAAATCGTCGAAATATCTTCTCGTGAAATATTCTCGTATATGTTTTCTGGTGTGGGCTAGCAATATCGTTGGCGGGTAATGGCGTGGATACGGCAGGTAGTATACACGCAGCTCGCGTGAGTGAAGTATATATCTATAGTAAGTGAACTCTATAGATAATGAATGATACAGTGGAACCACTCGGCTATCTCGGTGAGATGAAATGCACTTGAGAGCGGAAAGAAACGAGTTTACTTAGACGCTAGTAGGCTGTCCTACGTGCGTTACCGACAACCACTCGCGGTCTACTCACTGCTGTTTTACTTTAGCTGATCGAGAGATTATTAGCCAACGCCTACACGAATCGGATTAGAAAAACTGAAGGTTTACGCGGGAGCGAGCTGTTAGTATCGCACGTCTTACTAGATAACAACGACAAGTAGAAACACGGCAAAAAACAGCGACGTCTATTTGAAACGCATGCACAATGCAAATATACAAGAATCTACGCGGCAGACAGGCGAAAGGTCTGGGCCGATTATCATTCCCCTGTAACGTGTAGACAGGTGTAAGAAAGCTCGAAGAAAGAACATATAATAAAACATGCAATACCCTCCGGAGAGTGCGCGCAGATTTGCATCGAAGCGTATCCGATAAAGTTCAGTTCACATTTACGTTTCCAACCAACAAGGTCACGAACAAGTATAAAAGCAAATAGTAATGACACCGCGTGAGATGAATGCTTATAAAGTGAGAAGCAAGCGCGCTTTTCAAACGACACCGAGTTACTGAATACCAACTTTCAGCCATAAAACGATGACATTTGTTACCGATTTAATATAACATCGTTCGACTAGTCGTCATGCATTGGGAAATGACTTCGTTATGTCACTTTGTGAATTTGGCGATGATTTATTTCCCACTATACAAATCAGCTAACACGGATGCTTAGCTCCGGTCAGAAGGCGTGAACCGTACACGGACCAAACGGCTTAGCCAGAAACGGTTCGTTTTTTATTTACATTCTAATATACATCGCAGTCGCGATAATGTAAAGTTGTTGTTATTTTTTACACACTATTTACATATATTTTATTTTATTTTTTACGCACACACAAACACAAACACACACACACACACACACACACACACACGCACGCACGCACGCACGCACGCACGCACGCACGCACACACACACACACACAACAACAACAACAACAACAACAACAACAACAACAACAACAACAACAACAACAACAACAACGATGCAGAAGGCTAATTTTATCCCAAATAAAAATGTGATACACTGGCCTCTAATTAGAAAGCATTGTGTGTGTGTGTGTGTGTGTGTGTGTGTGTGTGTGTGTGTGTGTGTGTGTGTGTGTTGTGTGTGTGTGTGTGTGTGTGTGTGTGTGTGTGTGTGTGTGTGTGTGTGTGTGTGTGTGTGTGTGTGTGTGGATGTGTGTGTTCTTTCGTCATTCGTGTTCATGGCAACGCGCGAATTGTTTGCATCATTCCTTTAAGAATCTTCATTAAAGTCTGCCTGATGATCGCGTAAGCGTGAAACTCGGAGTAACAGCTAAAAGTAATGCCTTGTCTTTAATTTATCTACAGACTACAATTTATATATATCCCCCACAAACACACAACTTCGTGTATTACAAAAAACACAACGTATAGGTGTTTTGGCGATGTAGCGGTCGTGTCATACCGCACCTCAGGCGACCACCGCGCTCTTTTTCCGCCCGACTACTGAAACCGATAGTGATATACATGACTACTTCGCGGCCTGTCAAGGGGTTAAGCCAACACAACCGTCTTAAGGTGTATTTATTTAGCAAGGCCAATTAGTTTGTTTTCACTGCGAGAGCGGCGGCCGGGTGCGGGCCCACGTCGACGACGACGGAGACCACATATGTTAGGCCTGTTCCAGAGAGAGCCGACAGCGCGGCTATAGGGCGGATATATAACACCTCTAACACTCCATGCTCATCCTGCGCGGGCCAATTGCTGCCAGTAATGCGCTTATGCGGTCGGCTTGCAGCATATGCAGCGCTAAGATTAGTCGTTGAGATCAGATACCCATCTGCACGTCAGGGTGTGTGTGTGTGCGAGCGTGCGTGCGTGCGTGCGTGCGTGCGCGCGTGTGTATCTGTGCGTGCGTGCGTGCGCGCGCGCGTGTGTGT